TGCTTTAAAGAATGTTGTTGCTTTGGTAACCAAATTGACTACTTACCCCAGCTAGCAATGATTTGACTTGTTGTGTAACTTCAATATTATTAAACAAATCAACAGGTCATTCCCTCGAAGAAGTTTTCAAGTCATGTATGCCAGCTTTTGATAGTTCCCTGAAGGAAAGCTATGTGATTAAAAATCTACTTCATTGGATTAGTCTTGTATTTTAATAGAAGGCATTCTTACACAATACTTAATATGTTTAACAAATGGATTATTTAAATACAGATGACATTTGGCATGCTGTCTGTATTATTTTCATGAATAATGAATTGGAGTTTTGCCTTGAACTTAAAGGATCAGCCCAATGCACAGCCCAAGGAAAGTTGAATGCTGATTTATGAGCACCATTTTTGTTTTCCTACAGTTCATGAGGAGGTGTAATAGGGTGTCTGACAAAGCATAGACAGGAAATGAACTCTGGCATCAAAACCTAACCTGTTACATCTGCACTTAATTATTTTTTGCAGGTGATAAAAGATTTAAAGACAAAATATGTTAAAGGGTTTTTGAAGTGCAGGGCTTAATAGTCTAAATCTTGTTCATATCTGCACTCATAATTAAATCTTATTGTGAAGTCATGGCCTTACCATCTAGCACTTTTGTTCAGTTAAACATGCGTATTGGTTGTTGAAGAGAAGCAGAGAAAGGAGGAGTGCAGAAGGAATGGCAAGTGAAAAATGAGGGGTAGAATGAGTATATGGGTAGGTTAGATATTCTTAGAATGGTTTTCAAGTATTTCTCAGAGTATCCTACTATCACTTAGGAACATAATTATAAGCTGCAAGAAACCAGTATTATTGAAGAATTCACTTGCACTATATGCTATATCTGTTTGCTGACTTGAATCTTACAGTTCATTGAGTTTTACTGCTCTAAATGCTGGCCAAAAGTAAACTCTTATGTTATTCTTGGGGGTTTTTTAATAAGAAAATCCTATTCAAAGTTTTAATTTTGTGAATGTTTTTTGACTGTAAGTGTTACATTCACCTTGTCAGGAAAAGAAATCACTTCCATTTGACCTACTCAGCCAATAAGCACCTAGGAATTCAGCTTCAGTTTTGCAAGGCAAGGTAAAATGTGTAGATCATTACCTGTGCAAATTATTACCTGTGAAGCTGCCTATCCTTATTCAGGAAAGTAGACAGGGAATGCTCAACATCTCTCTGACTCTATCCCATTGGCTAAAATAACTCAGCTGGTGAAAAGGGAGAAATATATGGCTAACACAGATTACTTCAGTCCTGGAGCAGTTGCAGTCCAGTCCCTAGTCTGCTCCATGGTCAGTGCAATGATGTACAAAAATTCATATGGGAAATTTCTTATGTACGCAAACTATGGATAAATCACAATCCAAACTGAATGAATGAACAAGTTAATAGTGATGTCTTCATGTCCACCAACAAAGAGTTTTGAGCATCTGAGGGAAATAATGGAATTACAGATGTTAGGCTCGAAATTAACCTTTAAGGCTATATTTTTATACTGACTAGCACAACAGGACCCCATGCTGATTGGCAGCTATACATCTTACTCCAATGTAAATGTTAAAAAGTAATATTCAATCCCACACATTAAACTGTACTCTAGTTACAAATTAAGTACAGTCTTCATAAATGCTACATGTGTTCATATATAAATTCTTAACTTTTTAATTTTTAATCCTTCCTTCATTTTTTTCTACACTAAAATAAAAGACCTCTCTGTCAGCTTTTCTTTCCTCATACCACCATTTGAGTAAATCTCCATTTTGAACTGACTTATATACCCTGAATACATTTGATCTACTAAGGGCAGAATATGAACACATTTCCCACATGGTAACATCCGCAGTCTTAAACAACACATTCCTTTGTCTAGCCAGAGAAGTTATTGCTCTTCAAAACAGAGTAACCCTTGGTGGAATCAAAGTTTAGACAAGAAAGCTAGCTTCGAGATTTGAATAATCAATAAAGAGATCTGCTTGCCCATTTAATATTTTTTCTTCTCATTTGAAAACTGTTATAGCAAGAATATATCTAAAGCCCCAGATATATATGGAAAAGAAAAACTAATTAACATCAAAAAAGAGTCCTATTATGCTTTTAGTCATAATCTCTGCAGATATATCGATATGGCCAACATAGCTTCTCAGGTTGTTGTTGCAATCCTCGTTTCAAGATACTTGCATCTATGTTAGTATGATCTGTGTCTGTTTTGGAGTAAACCAATTAATTCTGTTGCAATTGAAGATTGGATGGGATTCTAGGGTTAGTCTGAGTGCCAGATTTTGCTGTATTTGCCAGTTAGAGCCTTCCAAACCCATGCTGGCTGCTTTCAAATCTCCAGCACCAGTGCACCCTCACACCGGTGTGTGCTCCCTTGCACTTCCAGCATGTGTTACATTTAACCTTGGCATTAAGTCACAGTTGGGCTGTAACTTCATCCGCATGTTGTTTCAAGAACTTTCAACTGAGAAAATAAAAGTAACCATCATAATATTACCCCACAGAGATCCCAGAGGAGGTCCAAGTCAAGCACAATAAAGTACAAGTAAGATTCAATCAATATAGAGAGTCCTGAACAATGTGGGTGAAAGTCATGGACTGCATCAGCTGGCAAAGAGCACGAGCAACGGGCAGTGCTTGCTGTGCCATTGGCAATGTACACCTAACTTGAACCTTCCTGGAGCCTAGGCATCCTGAGGAAAATGTGACCATTGTTTCTCTGGTACTAAATTTGTTTGAGACCTCATAGTGCTTGCAAAATAAATACAGTCTGGGTGACAGTGTTGACATTCAGAGTACTTTGTCTGTCCTCCTTCTGAATTGTCTCTTTAAAGCAGAAATTTCAAAAGAGATGAATTAAAGGAAGAGAATCAAGAATATCTATAATTATAATATATCTTTTACTGAAAGGCATATGGATTTTCCTTTTTCACTTGTAAAATTTCTTGCATGTCTAACCACATATTAAAATAGTAGACCTGTGAAAACAAAACTAAAAAAGAGGAAAAGTCCACTCATCAGCCTTTGTTGTATAGATATACTGTCAGCATTTCTTTTTTTGGTATTTTATTTAATGACAGAATTTCTTTTCACTGGCATTATATAATGTTTGAAATATGGAAACTGGCCAAGGTCACTCCTTGATTGTGGAAGGCAGCATCCTATCTGCCAGATGATTTAATAGCTAATGAGATCATATTCCTATGTCTTCAACTGTTGCCGTCATGATTTTGCAAAAATGAAGTATGAAGTCCTTTCTGCATCTGGCATCTCTTTTGATGTGGATCTAACTGCTGAGGGACTGCTAACTGAACTTAATGTTTCAAGAAAGCCAATTTACTCAGCTGGTCACAGAGCCTTTGACCTCAATAGTGGGACTTGGCAAATCCATGAATACACTTATGTTTAGTGTTCTGTCAAGAATTGTGAAAAAGCTCTGTAAACCATAGATCCTTCTGCAAAATACTAGTTTGCAGTTTAAACATTAGTCTTTCTTCAGAGGCCAATGAGGCTAGTTAATTAAGCCTGAGGGGTTATGAACTGTTGGCAGTTAATAAGTCATAAAATTCCTCCATAAAACAGGATGCTAGATTCCATCACTGAGGCAAGGAGTACAAAGAGCCGGTGTATAAATATCTAATTGTACAAAAGGACTGGGATTTCTCAATGACTGCTCATCTGGAGTCTCCAGGGCACGCTCGCTATGGTTTCCTGATTTTTAGAAGCCAGTTTAAAAAATGAGTGCATTAAAGAGTAATTTGCCTGAAAGTTCAGGAAGTATGGGGTGGTGAAGGGAGGGGGAAAGGGAAAGACAAAAGGAGGGCAAGGGAAAGGGAGAGAAACAGAGAAAGAGAGAGAGGGGATAAAAGAAAGCAGAACTCAACTCTCTACACTGAGTTGGACATTATTACGTTTGTCATCTGTTTTCTTTCTCCTTTAGGATGTTCACCATGGCAACGGTACACAGCAGGCTTTTTATGCTGACCCCAGCATCCTGTATGTTTCCCTCCATCGCTATGATGAAGGCAACTTCTTCCCCGGCAGTGGAGCCCCAAATGAGGTTAGGTTTATTTCTTTAGAGCCCCATTTTTATTTGTATCTTTCAGGTAATTGCGTTTCATGATTACCCCTAATTTTCTTGTCCTTCTCTGGTTCTTTAAATTACACCAGATTACCAAATTGTCCACTGGGAGCAGGGGACCAGTGGAGAACAAGTGCATAACCCAGAGCAGTCCTTGTCAAACAAGGCTGGGCTGATCTGACGAGTTGTTTGATGTTTGTTTCTAAAGCACACTTGAGATTTTTTCTTTCTTTTTTTTTTTTTTCCTTTCCCTCTCTCTTTTCCTCCTCCCTCTTCTTCCTTTTCACTCCTTTTGGCATTTTATTCCTATTTTTCAGGTTGGAAGTGGCCCTGGTGAAGGGTATAATATAAATATTGCTTGGACTGGTGGCTTGGATCCTCCTATGGGTGATGTTGAGTATCTCACAGCATTCAGGTTGGTACCTTTTTCTTTCAAAGTTATGAAAACTGGTTGTAGAACATTATCACATGAATGAGAGCTAATGTAATCCTGAAAGACAGGAGAATGGCCCATGATGAAACTGACTTAATCCTGGTATCCCAGTATATGAAAGCTTAGTAAGTAACAAAAATAGATAATTTAATTGTTGTTATCACCCACTCGGAATTGACAAAAAAAAGTCTAATGATTTAATCAGTCACTCATTTTATCATTATTATATCATGCCAGTAAAATTACATTGGGATTCTCTACTTACAAAATATAAATGTTATACCAGGCAGAAGAAAATGACTGTTCAAGTTCATGTTGATTGCAGTTGCATGCAATTAGAGCAGATAGAAAGCAATATGAAGTATGGTCCAAATACAGCATTCCTCATTCACTTAGAAGTCTTATCACGGTACTCACAGATTTGACCTTCTGTTTTTTTCTTTGAATTACAGTAGAGTGCTATTTACTTAAAAGTAAATAATTGTGAAGTGTCTCAGTAGGAATGATAGGAAATGTTGCACACTGTATTTCTCCTTGCTTTCAATAGCTCATTCTAAATTAAATTTTATTCTTTTATAGGTGATGCGTCATAATCTTTAGTCTTATTTTCATGGGACCAAAGGAGATAAAATCAGTTTAAAACACACTCTTTTAGACTTTCAGTAGTACTGTCTTAACATCCACCATTTCCTTTAATTGTAAAGTGGTCCAGTGGAGGGGTTTAGTGGGCACTCACCTCTCAAGATTGGGCAAATGTTACGTGTTTGAAAAACTGATAGGGAAAACTGATATGCAAGAAAGGCAATGAGACCACTAACATATATTTCCAATCACTTCCAAGAATTTTAGTTTGAACCTTACATAGCTTTTGACTATATTCTATTGAAAATACATAACAAAAAATATAAAAATATTTTTTTTTCTGAAGCACTCCTGTGGAGTCCATGAGATAATATGCAGAGGATCTGATATATAACACACCTGAATTCAAAGTCTAAGCACTAGACACAGAAATGGCCTTGCACATTCAAATTATCACCTTATTATTATTGTGGAAAAGGTTTTAATTTTATTTACAACACTTGCTTGTATTTAAAAAGAGTCTAAACAAATAGTTAGTGGCACGCTTTAAATTTTCTGCACCTCAGTGTTGCCTCAAGCTCTTTCCAAGATCTGTCTTATTCTTTGATGAGATTTTATGGAAGTTAGGAGGCTAGTGGTTCAAATCACTGGTATTAGTGTCTGATATCAATTCATCTGGTATGATCACCCCAAAATTTTTGGTTTGGATCCAACCTGTCTCAATAACAATATAGATAATGTGGCCATCTAGCCATCTAATGCTGCAGAGAATGGAGGTCCCAGTTTATTGAACAGAAGACTCACATAACTGAGATTGCAACCATAATTGGTACCCCTGCTGTCCTGAGAACAAATACCTGGGTTTAATAATAGCTTTTCAAATATGTACGTTACAGTTCCAGTTTAAGGTACACTAGTAAATAGTTTGGAGTGGCTAATATTGCTGCTTTACCTATTGCTCTAGCTCAGTTAGAGGGAATTTCAATCTCAGTGCCTGAGCGAAGAAGCACTATTCAGGAAAATAAAATTAATGTAAGCTAGTACACACTGACTAATCATTTGCGGACATACCACTAAAATAAGTACTTAATTGTATATATTATTTTATGTAGATAAATTCAAAGTAAAGTTTAGGATCTCCTTTAAAATAATTGCTGATTGTGCAAAATTTATTGCTGCTATTGTAAATGCATCCCTGTAACGTTGTGATTAATCTTGTAATTAATGTGAAGGTTCTACATTGTGTTAAATACTCTGGGGGGTTTTGTTGGGGTTTTTTTTTGGGGGGGGAGAGTTGGGGGTTTTTTTAAAGAAATATAATGCTGTTGACTGATTACAATAGAGACTGCTGTTTTCCTTTTCTTCAAAAGAGAATGAATGACAGGAAATATTTCCCCACACCCTAAGCCTCTTTCTGCCTGGGCACAGTCTTTGTGCCCTCTGTAGTGCTTATTCATATAGACTTTGTATGACTGGCATGACAGTTTTGAGTGGGGATCAATTAAGCAAACTGCATGGAACTTCAAAGGGTGAATACAAAAATTTGTAAATTATGTAGGATAGACCAGGTAGCTATTTTCTATGGATCTGGTCTGAATGGTAGGTAAATTTACAACTCCTAGTGAAGAGACAACCTGTGGACCAGAATCCACCCATGCTATTATCCAAAATGTCACACATGATGTAGCCACATTCTCAATTTGGCCAGGACAGAAATGTGAGACAGTGGTCAGGAAAGAGAGATCCACAGTTCAGTCCTTTAGCCATAGAGAGAAAGGAAGGTACAGTCTTGGAGAAAATCAATAAAAGTGTTGCTAAAAAAACCCAGCAAGTCAGCTGTTCCAGAGTTTTGACCCACAATAGGTCAGTTTTTAGGAAAATAAACAGTGAGTTTTGTAGATAGGAAAATGGGTTTGATATTTTCTTCAAATAAATTTATTTTAGAGACAGAGTTGCAGAGAAGATCCTAACTAAGGGGTGGGGAAATGTTGGACATCCTTAATTTGAAGAGAAAAATAAGGGACAAAATGGAGGGGTTTTCTCTTCATACTTACTCCCCAATAGACAGAGAGGTTATGCAGTATTCAATCCCTAGTGAAGGCAGGAGACATTTTTGGTGAAGGCTGTCTCCAAAATAACCAAGGTGCGGATAAGTTTCCAGATGGGTGGAGCCTGTTTGGAGAGAAGCTGAAGCTTCCTGATTTCTGGCTGCTTCAAGGGCCTAATCCTTTGCATTCTTAGGAACTGAAAAATTTGCATTAAAATCATCCAAAACTCCCTAGGGGTAACATATAACCTTCACTTTCTCACCAGCAGAGCCCTAGTTTCTTTCTAGAATTGCACCAAGCACATATTTGAAGTGTCAGCAACCATGGCATGCTGAGTAAGTGGCTCCAATGGGACTCTAGTGGGAAACAGGGAAAAATTATGGTGCTTGTTTGTGTCCACCATTTTGATTCCAGTGCTACATGAAGAGCCTTTATTGCATTTTTAAACTAACACTTTTTAGTACAAAATCAAATTTAAATGACTATAACCAGTTTGAATATGAAGCTTGCTTTTTCATGTATAAAAGAATATGTTTTCCCTTCCATTTCTTTACCATTTCTACTAAGAAAATATGTTTTCTTGTGTTAACTACAAGGAGGTGGTAGAAAAGGTATGGGAGAGAAGTTTCCATAGAATGAAAAAGAAGTGCAGTAATCAAATCACTATACCTTTTAATCTTGCCAGAAAAGTTTTGTTTGATTGATGTTTGTCATAGTTAAGCAACTGATCTAGCTACAAAAATCCTTGAAAGGATGTCTTTTTTCTAAAGGGCAGACAGCTCTTCTTTTCCCTTGCAATAACAAAAAAAGCACAGCTCTTTTCCATTATCTTCAAGGCCTGATGTATCTTTGCCTCTACAGAGTTTTATTTCATCATTTACTTCCACCTGTTCAGGTTAAATTTGCTTTAATCTCTTTGAAAGCAATAGAAGATGGTGGCTATTTTCTAAGAGGATGATTCTACACTCAAGTTTATGAGGATGTAATCCACTCTCTTCTGCCAACAGTTATAGAAAAAAATAAGAGCAATGTTCAACTACTAATGTTCAAATAATTATTTTCATAAGCCCCACATTATACCAGATGTGCTCAGTAAAGGAGGCAGCAGATGGAGGCTCAGGTCTGTGCTGTACATACACACATGTGTATGTGTGTAGTTGGAGTTTACAGAGGATAGGAGAGATGTGTTTCTGTAGAGCAGACTATAGAAGAGGCAGGAGGCAGTGAAAACAAGTGTGGGTGTTTGGAAGAGGGAGACAGAAGCAAGAGACAGAAGGAAACTAGGGTGTGCCTTCCAACCACTTTGCACTGCTTTCATTCAACAAAGGAGCTGTAAATTTAGCTTAACTAGCAGGTATGCTCCAGCTGCTTTGCTCTCCTCCAGAGAAGCATAAAACAGCCGCAGCATATCAATGAACTTGGATGTAAAAGCTTACATAAAATGAAATGTGTGTGTGTGTTTCTTGGGATGATTAGAAATAGCTCATGATAATATTATCTTTGAGTTCAATTTTTAGCAGTCAGATGTATGATTTTAATTTAAGGTGAGTAAATTCAAAAGACATAGGTGACATTAAGGTAGAGTTAAATATGAACTATAGCCACAATTTAATTTAAAATACAGTACAAAATTTATATTTACTCCAAAACAATAATTTTAAACAAAGAGAATTCAAAATTAAAGTCATACTTGAAACCACTTATGTTAAAGTGTAAAAATGAAAGAAAATTTAAGCTATGCAGAAAATCTTCATGTCACCTTACAGTTCCCAGTGCTTGTTTTGTGAGAAAATAAATATGTTTAAAACTCTTTGTATTCTAATCTCTGATCAAAAATACTAAGAAACATTCATTCCAGTCTTGTGGTCTAACAGGGCATAGTTAAAGTTGTTATTTGAAGGATTGCATTGATGTATACCAACCCTTTTTTTGGTCTTGTTTTTGTTATTTCCTAATCTGATGACATTTAATTTTGACATTTCAAATTAAATTCTTTGCAAATGTATTTTTATTGGTTTTTTTAAATATATTCTCCTTGTCAACTCTGTTTCAGCATAGGTACTGACTATGAATTTTTTTCACTTTTTAAGTTACAATTTCATACATAAACCCTAAAAAGAATACTCAGAGAAAATATTACTTGTGTTTTCCTTATGCTTTTTCACGTAAGTATACATAGATAGTGTATATTTGTATATATTAATTTAACTTTCCTGTAAATTTTACTTCTGTGACTTTTTGCTCACTGAGGAATTGGAGATAACTTTAATAAGTTTTGTTTATCCTGTGGGTATTGAGTTTCATGGTCTTAAGTGTGTGTGTCTGAAAAACAAAAATTCTTTGGTTTAGCTC